ATATGTGTAAAGAAGCATATCTTTTTGGCATTGATGATAACAACCCATTTTCACCCTAAATTCTTACCACCTTTAGGAAAACAATTATTCTCAGCAGGATAATGCGGAAAGAAAAACAACAGTCTACTTATAAAAAAGTACTGTAATATAGTTATTTGACTAATCAAAGGATTAAGTTACTTTATGAAAAAATCTTTTGATTTAGAGATGAAATAAGACACATTTTGTGAGACCGATCCTCATTAAAACATTAAATAAGCTGTCACTTGCATGAAGCAGAAACTTTGTTATAATAAAAACTCAGTCACTGTCTATTTTCAAAAGCGTGTGCCAGAGTTAAACACAAGTCTCTGTGAATGATGTTTTTAGTGTTGTTCACTGTCTTATTCTATATCTATTTTGATTAGTCTTTGTTCTATCTAAGATGTCAAGTAATATTTCTGTCCTCAGAAAGCTCCAAAATCACATGCAATTAGAACAAAATAGATTGTTCAAATATAGCTATAAGCAGGATTTTGCACCAATAAGATTTCACTGTGGGCGGGGCCAACACAATGTTTTGTCATATATGTCGCTGATGGTTGCAGCTGTCAGTAGTTTTTTGCATAAAACTAAACCTTACTTCTCACACATCACATGATGTTGTAGACATCATGTGGGGAAGTTGTGGCCTAATGGTTAGAGAGTCGGACTCGTAACCCAAAGGTTGCGGGTTCGAGTCTCGTACCGGCAGGGATTGTAGGTGGGGGGAGTGAATGTACAGCACTCTCTCCCACCTTCAGTACCACAACTGAGGTGCCCTTGATCAAGGCACCGAACCCTAGTATGGGTCACCATACTTGGCCACATGTCACTTCACTTCAGACTGTAGCTGTGATTTTTCACGAACCGTTGTGACTTCCGTAAAAAGGTGACATCAGAACTACTCAGTCACCACCCGAGCACCACCCACCGTCCCACTCTCCTTTTGCCAAATGTGACAGATGAATAAATATGATTACAGCGCCCTCTGCTGTTATAGTTCCGCACTGTGTGGTGACGTCTCATCATGGCGCGCTACATACCGTCTCAAAACTGCATTTATCGGTTCTCTCGAGGATATAACAACAGTCAGCGACTCGGCGGATACAAATGTTGTGGATGCACTAACTTCTCGAATACAAATGTGATACACGATAGACAGAATCAGCGTTTCACAGTTACTCTTGACTGCGGCGGTAAGAGCAAATATCTTTCATTCTGATCTTGTGTCTCTAAACCCAGTGAGCTGCCTATTTAGACAGCATTTCTGACCATCAAAACAGATGATTCACAACGTGCTGACCACTAGGTAGGCAGCCCTATGGGTTATGAGACTAAATTTCATGTGATTTGATGCCAACAACAACAACAACAACAACAACAACAACAATCCTATTAATAATAATAAGTTAATTTCCCTTGTCGTGTGAATCAGGAGCAGTGAGCAATGCAGTGCTGAAATACACTGTCAGTCAGGATCAGCAGGTGGAGTTGATCTCTACAGAGGTTCCTGAATCACACAGGGGTAAAGGTGTAGCAGCTCACCTGGCAAAGGTGAAATCAGTCTTCAGCTTCCTCAGTTCTTCATGTTCTGCTGTAACTCAGTAACATTCTTCTTTTTGTTTTTTCCTTAGGCTGCTCTGGATTTCGTTGTTGAAGAAAAGTTGGCAGTGAGGATATCCTGTTGGTACATTAGAAAATATGTTGATGAAAATCCATATCTTGGATACCAGGCTTACATTGAAAATAAATAGAGGCAGAATTAAACAATATCTTAACAGAAGGTTTTACATACATCTTTCCTCATTTACAACCGGTCGACTTGCAGTCTTATGACAGGATGAACAGAGCAGATGTCAGAGCCTACAAGTACAAAAGAGGTACAAACAAGTAAACAAACGGTTGAACGTACGAATGAATGAATCCATGCATAAATCCAGTCCAAACAGTGTTTGAAATAGGCTGTGCCATCCAGACTTGTTAACTTCCCCCTCTATTAAAAATATAGATTAATCAAGTAACCATCTCAGTGCCTAGTAACCACTCTATTGCTTAGAAAAACCCTAGCACTGAAAATCATGTCGTTACTAGTGTTTTTTTTAAAGGCCTACTGAATGTAATTCATGAGGGGGTTATTCAGTGATGCCATGTGTACATTTCAGACATCTTGGATATTAGGATAATTAAGTGAGATCACTCTGCTGGAATTATTAGGCAAATTATTGAACTCACGGTCTTCATCATCTGAAACACAAGATTATTGTGTTCCAAATCACAATGTTCTACATTTCAAAAAGCCATGAGTAAAATTGGTTTTAATTATTATTTATTTTTGTTGTAAATGTAATTTCACAGCTTAAATTCACCTTTTATTGCATGAATACATCACAAACATCAGGTGTCTCTTGCTCTAATTCACACGTCAATTCATCTGTCAGTTAGAAAAGTGATTTATTTAGATTTTTGCTTTTGATGTGAATAAATACTGTGATTTGTATTGTTTGTTTTTTGTACATTTTTCTTTATTTACGCCTGCTGTAGCAAGTACACAGCTAGCACAGCACGTAGCCTGGATTCCAACCTCATCAGGTTCCGACACTTGATTTGCTGCGGCTGCATTTCGCGGAAGTCAAAGTGAAACCGAAAGCGATCCAAAGACTAGATCGACGCCATTTCAGATGAGTTGAAATCAACGATGTCTTCACATGTTACGGTAAGTTCGTTAAAACGGTTCACAGCAGTAATATCAATAAGGACCTTTTGCGTCTAAACAGACCGTTTGTCGAACTCAAACACGTTAAAGATGTTCGTTACTCTCCTAGAGACGAGAAGAGCAGCGCGGTTAGGACAGTTCCCATCCTCAGGCCTGTAGTGCTTCCAACTCTCATATTTTCAATGTCAAGTCTACCTACTCCTAATCAAGCACACCTAAAGTTCAACACTGTGGTTAACTTGAGTTTTATATTTGACATTCGCGGAAATCCACGTTATATTCTCCGTTTGTATCACATACTCGCGCAGGGCCGGAGTGGGAGTATTTTTCAGGCCTGGAGTTTCATGACTTAGAGCGGCCCACTTTGGTTCACGACTGACTAGCTATTACAATGTAATTAAAACGTCAGTATATAAGTCTGCAATAGCGCACTGTTCTCTACAGACTTGTAATTCATTATATCGTTCTACAGCTTTGCAGTGGTAGCGGTAACGAATTACAACTACTCATGTTACTGTAATTAAGTTTTTTTTTTTTCGGGTACTTGTACTTTTTTGAGTATATTTTTAAAGGTGTACTTTTACTTGTACTTAAATACAAATTAAGCGAAATAATCTACTCGTTACTCTTAAATCATAGTTCGTTATTGAGTACGCCCACAATTTGGATTGATATCAAAACCTTTGACGGCACTTCAGTAGCCAATAGATATCCGATCGTAAACGGACCAATAACAGCCCTGATATCTGAAGCGGGAAAAGCCGCCGCTGCAGCAGGTGAAGAGCTGATCAGACCGTGAGGGAGCTCAGCGTAATCTATAATTTGATAAAGATACTGAAATATCTGACACGGTTCCATTACTCATTTTCCACAGTATCTACCGAATATACACAGATACAAGCTGCGTCTCACTTTCCTCTCCGATAGTGAGTTTGACACGCATCCGCCTCCTGTCGATTACAGAGTCTGAATGTCCGCGCGGGATTGCAGGTATTCCGCATAATTGTAATCATTCCCGCGCAAATATGGCGTAATCACAGAAAACTGGATGCGAGCTTTCAAATAGGCCTAACTTAAACAAATGAGCTGCCTGTCCTCTCACTCCGTATTGCTTGTGCGCAGACTGTGTGCAATCGCGATCTCTCCGTGCTTTTAAGTAATACTCTTTGTCTCTGGATTAAACTTTGTCAAAAGTTGTCAGAATAGATCCACGCCTGACCGATGAAAATCCTAATGGAAATTTTATTGGCTGTAAGTGAAATGCACTTCCAACAGTCAAAGATGGAACTTTAAGTTTATGCTAGAATTTTTTAGGAATGGGATATTTGTCTGATTTCTACATATCCTAGTCTGCCTAACTGCATCACTACATTGTACAGGTCAAAAGCCATCTTATGTTCCATTTATCTAAATAAATAGCCTAACATACTGTATATGGCTCTTAAATCACTGCTTATAAAAATTCAGTTGTCATATTTTGAATACCTCAAACTGAATTGAGGTAATTTGTTTTATAATGTTATTACTGACTGTACTTGTTTTTGTAAATTCAGTTCAGTTTCAAATCAAATTTGAAATCAAGCTTCCTGCTGTAAGCTTTTGCAACAAAGTTTACCCTATTTTAAAGACACAAATACACAGAATGAGCAAATGTTAAGATTGAGATTTTTGTAATGTTAATTGACCAATATTTATATGTATGTAAATAAAAGCCTATATTAAAATCTGTTCATCATATAAAGCAAATGTGTCTTTTTAGAAGATTTGGATTAAACCAATTTCAAAGCTTGAAATAATAAGCTTGAAATAATAATTGCCTTAAAAAAATGGATGGGAAATAAATAAATAAAATATTAAAATATCTATATGGCAGTATACAGTATGTGTTAGTTTTGCCAATGGTATTGAAAATGATTAGTTGTCATGAAATCAAAAATGACCCTACTTACTATATTTAGTGCATATTACTAATCTTGTGGTGAACAATTGAATTGTGCAAGTCAATACACTGGAAAAAAAGTAGTTTGCCGTCGCTTCCGCTCTGGAATGGCGTTCTGGCTCTGATGACGTCAGTTTGACGGCTTCGGGGGAATCCTCTTGTTACGTCATGACGTAAGGACTGCTGTTTCCGGGTCCATGCCTCTACTCATTTCACTTGAGAATAACATCTCAACAGCCATTTATGAGCACTGTTTAATTAATATTACATATTTAAGCTAAGCATTTAAAAATTTGCTGTGCTACAGTCTCCGTGCTCACAGTGTCTCAGACACTAATATTTTAGCTGAATCACTGTCAGACTATCTGGGATTTCAGTATGGAGATAAAGATTAGGGTTATAATTTTTCAGTATTACAAGACATCGTGAGTGTGTACAGTATATGCACAGTTTGTTGTTTTTTGGGGGGCGTCTGGCAGAGCGTTAGGACCCAGAAGTGGTGAAGCGTGATGTCAGACGTAACAAGCAGGTATTCTTAACCACTCCTATCCAACCGTGAATCTGCTCTGAGCAAGAGGTGGAGTGGAGGTGCACCATAATAGAATCCCGCCCTTTATTCAATATTCCGTTTCACTTGGAAATACATCACAACACTGAAGTCAGTTGCAACTTCCGGTTCACGGGTACTTTGATATTGATATTTTTCAAGGTATTGAAGTTAGAAATTGCTGTATCATGATCACTAATTCACATACTTTGTCAATAAGATAAAAGTGGGTTTTGTTCAAAGTAGCTATTATCCACATATATCTTTGATATGAATATTTTTTGGTAATTCATTAAATATCGCCAGGCTAAAAAGTAACTAGTAACTAGTAATCTGAGTAGTTTTTGAGAAGAGTACTTTGTACTTTTACTTAAGTACTGTTTTGACACCAGTACTTTTACTTGTAATTGAGTATTATTTCAGCAATGTAACAGTACTTGTACTTAAGTACAAATTTTCAGTACTCTTTCCACCACTGCAGCTTTGTTTGTTTGTTTGTTTTTTTTACTGGCTTTTTCAGCACCGCCTTTGCACTTTCTATTATCAATTTTTGTAACTATTATTTTTTGCTCGCATATCTCCAACAAAATATTTGTAGGCCTACATAATATCTGCCTGCAGTTAAAAAGTTCTCAGAAATAATCACATTTGTTTTGCTTAACCTATTAATGTACAATTATTCTAATTATCATCGTCCTGAGTAAATTCTACCATTATAAAATTGTGACAGCACAAGTAGTGTAGTAATTTAGGAGGTGAAAATACTGTAAAATTACATACATAAAAATGGCAAGAAAATTTAAAGCAACAACTGAATGTCTATGAAACGTCAGTCAATAATATTTTTTTAAATGATGGCACTTCAATTTTTTTAACTAAAATAGGCTATTATTGCAACCATATAGCCTATGAATTAGGGATGCACCGATACCACTTTTTCCAGTACTCGCCCGATACCGATCAGACTCGGTCTGAATAATTTTTGGTCCCAAAGTTTTACTGGTAGTCCACTGTATGAAGAAATTTTGGGTATAATTTGTCACAGTTTACTTTGTTTACTT